TAATAATATTTCACAATATTACTGTTTTTACTGTATTTCTGATTAAATAAATGCAGTCTTGGTAGGCATAAGAGACTTCATTCAAAAACATTAAAAAATCTGCAATGTTCTTACCCTGAGAAATATTCAGTGGAATAAAAAGTTTGATTACTAGCCCTGGTCTGCCCTATTTCTTATATCCTGTACCTGGTTTTTATTTTAATTTTTGTAATAATTACCTTTTGCTGGCAGTTAATTTTAAATGGTCCTTATAGTGTGACAAATGAAAAAGTCCAAATATTCCATGCAGGCTCATGGTATTAATATGAGGCCACAAAAGCTTCATGCATAATAGAATTAGCAAAATCCTGTTTAAAATATTGAGATGCATGTCACAGCACAAGTCAAATTCCAGAAATTATTTCACAGGCAGAGGCAAATAAAACAGGTTTTGCTATTCATGTCACTCTAGTTTGTGGTTGACCTCTATTTGGGACACAAATTGCAGTAGTTTTGTTTTCATATCTCCTCTACTACATAACAATCAGTGTTTTCTGGCAGCAATGAAAAAACAGAGAACGACTGCATTTTCATTAGCAAGACAGGAAGTGGTTTTGAGCAAAACTGCCAAAGTAAACTTTTCGAGCCAAATGAAATGCTATTTCGGTGTGGTATAAAGCTAAGCTCCAGTTTGCGCTGTGAAGAGAAGGGAGAACTCCAGTGAAATGCAGATTAAGGTAAACAGTGGCACTTTTGTGTACATGCCATTGATATTTTTGCCCGTGAATTGCACTGATATAAGAAAAGCCCCCAGAGAGGCCACAGCACTACAGCTAAGAGCATTAGTGTCATGCACCACGGCTAATCTCGACTTCTGAGCTCTACGCTTGGAGGAGATGGCGGGATGCTGACAGATGCTGTGAAAGCTGCTACTTGTGGGTTAGAGATAAAATCTGAATTAGTGTTATGAATTCTAATTTACAAACACGAGCGCATGATGTTCTGTCTTGCCGTTTGGCTCGCATCCCAGGCAGAATTAAAGGAGCATTTCATACAGCCGCAAGTCTCCGAATGCTCTGTGCTTAATGCAAAAATCAATATGTTCTTGATTTTTGCTCCCATGAAATATAAAAAGTCTCTTTTCACTCTGTGTAACCTGTAAGAGAGAGCTACTGACCGACATGTTTCGCCTGTGCCAGACAACAAACCAGTAGTTGGCAGTGAGGAATAAAGCTCATGGATTTCATATAGTGTGCCACAGACTGTCAAAGCCAGAGTTCAGTGATTTAATGGTATAAAGCGCATTGTGGATCTGTGGGAGCAATTCCTGCAACATGCACTGTATTATTAATGTCCTTTTGCAGTAGAAGTATGAAAACGCATGAATGTCATTGCCAAAATACCAAGTCAAGTGGCATTCATGACATTTTTTTCCCAAGTGGCATTTGCAATCTTCAGTCAAGTCAAGTTAAATTTATTTTTATCGTGCTTTTCATATTGTTTCACAGCAGCTTTACAGAAAATCATGATGTTAATGTTTATAATATCGTAATACCTTCATGTCTTGTAGTTGGATTTAGCCGAGTCGAGTAGGGAGATAATTTAGCTTTCATTTTGCAATTATACAAGAAATCAAACAGTTGAGTTTTGCTATATAGTATCACCCTACGCCAGTATACTGTATGTATGCAGATAAAGCTGAACACTTAGATATCTAACTTTATATTGGAAAAATAGGTATTTTATGACAACATCAAAATAAATCAGGCAGTTGATAATATATAAATATTAAAAATATATTTATTTATTTCATTAAATTCATAGCATTTTCTGTGTTTTTAATGAAGTTTGAGAAAACAGAATATCTTGTTTCTGTATATTGAGCCTGAAATAGTGTTTGTTTATAACTGCATGTACTCTAATATTGGTTTCTGTGCTTTCAGACAGGCTGAGAGGAGAACAGGTCAGTGTGTACTATTGTGAAGAGAAAATAGCAACTGAATAATTGCATATTCTTTTCTTTCTTTCCTTAAAATTTATCTAAATTCAACATTGTGTTTACTCAATAAAATTATGAAATAAATTGCAGTTAGTGTTCTTTATATTTAGACATTTATGTGACATTTATTATGGCTTACATTTCATCCCAGAGGAGAAGGACGATGATGATGATGGGGGTCTTGAGGAAGAGGAGGAGGAGGTTTTGATAGGGAACGAACTCTTCCCGCGTCGAGTGGATGGAAGCACCACTCGCGAACGCTTCAGAGGAATCACTGCCCTCGGAGGAGGAGCCACCCGTCCGTGATAGTCAAAGAGCCTAACCGGATAAAAGAACCAAAGAAGATGTGCAGAGTTTATAACACTCAAAACCAGGCTTTTGATTCTGAATTATATGGAATTCTAAAGGTTTTTCACCCCCGAAAACATTTCTGACTCCTAGTTTCTGGTTTCCCTGCAATTAGCAGAGCTACTTTTGAAATTCGTCATCATGGCAGGCGAATTTTTCAAAAGAAGTTACAGAAAAGAAAAGAGGTACAAGAAAATGTCAAACAAAGGCACATGCCCTTGCTCTCGCATCAATCTCTCCTGGATATTCACAGCTCTCCACCCAGCTGACATTTAGTAAATGTCTCTGCTAATAAAAGGTGAGATCATAAGAAGGAAAAGAGTGAAATAAAACAGGGCTTTTTAGAAATTAAAGACGAGCTCCATTTACTCGAAGCTTATGAATTTTCATCCACAATATCGGCTTTCTCTTAAATTCTTCCAAGGACGAACTGTAGGTGTTTAAGATAAATAAAATCACTGATTTTCTGTTAAAGGGGTCATATGATGTTGCTAAAAATAACATTATTTTGTATTTTTGGTGTAATGCAATGTGTTTATGTGGTTTAAGGGTTACACATTATTTTCCACATACTGTACATTATTATTTCTCCTCTATGCCCCGCCTTTCTGAAACGCATCGATT